AATATATTCGAAATGAAACAAAACGTCCAACCTTTCTTTCATTCACTGGCAGTACTTCCTGCCCTGATGTTGTATTGGCGCACACCTCAATCTCTGATAACATAAAGCATACCCTACTACCAGCTATAGCAGATTTCGAACACAATATCCTTGTGGTTAACTTGAACCTGAATCAAAATAATAATAGTAAGACCAAAGAATCGCAACTGCCACGATGGAATTTAAAGAAAGGAAACTGGAAGCTTTTCAGAAAATTGACAGATGAACTCATCACTGATAAATTAATCATAAACGGTAACGTGGATAAAACATATACTAATATAAAAGGAGATTTATATAGGTGTGCCCTGAAGTCTATTTCCCAAGGAACGATACGGAAATATCGTCCTTTCTGGAATGAAGAACTGCAAAAGCTAAAAGAAGAAAGAGATGATTTTAGAAAAAGAGCTGAGAGCTCCAAAAATCATGCAATTATAAGTTTACTTAAAAGGAAAACAGCTATATTTAAAAGAAAAGTTATTTCAGCTAAACAAAACTCATTTAGAACGTTCCTACAGAAAATGGACTTTAGAAAAAATGGAGTTAAGGCACATGAATTTCTTTCAAAAATAAATAATAAATCAAACTTAGCAAACCATCCAAAAAAAGGAGACATAACGGAAAATTTCAGACCCATTGCATTAACAAGTACTTTCTCCAAGCTCTACGAGAGAATCGTTGCAGAAAGACTTGAGAAATGCATAGAAAAATATGATCTAATATCTTCTAAACAAGCTGGCTTCAAGAAAAATCGAAACACTATTGAACAAGTAGCTCGTCTGACACAAGAAATAAAAAACGGCTTCCAAAGAAAACAGAGCACCCTGGCAATATTCGTAGATTTTAAGACGGCATATGATAGAGTTTGGAGAAAGAAGCTGGTGAGTAAGCTTGTTGACAAGGGAGTCACAGGATATCTGCTCAAGACTATATCTTCTTTCTTACATCAAAGATTTATAAGTGTGCGATATAAAAACGTTGTCTCGACATATCGCCAAACAAAACAAGGCCTCCCACAAGGCTCGGTGCTGAGTCCCTTCCTGTTTAACATCATGATTGATGATATCACGGAACTCACTGAAACTATTCCGGGTACAAATGCTCTGCTGTACGCAGATGACCTCGTCATTTGGGCAACAAGTAGTGACTTTAAAGGGCTAGAAAAGCACATGCAACAGGTACTGAAATTACTAGAGAAGTGGGCCAATGAAAACGAGATGATCGTTAATTCCAAAAAGACGGAATTCCAACTTTTTACCCTCTCTACCAAATCACACGAGATCAATTTGAACCATAATAACGAAGAGCTCAAAGGCACAGAAGAAGCTACATATCTTGGAGTGAAATTGGATAAAAGACTCTCTTGGAATAAACACAATGAAAAACAAATAGAACAGGCTTCAAAACGACTTTCGTTAATACAGAGGTTAGGTGGCTCAAAATGGGGAGCAACGGGGGATGTTATGGCTCTTGCCTACAAAACATATGTCCGCCCTGTTATTGAATATGGAGCAGAACTTGTTATCACTGCTTCGGACGCGATATTACACAAGCTCGACATAATCCAGAATCAAGCCCTTAGACTCGTGACAGGAAGGAGCAGATCAACTCCAATATCTGCGCTAGAATTAAAAACAGGCATAGTACCTCTTGAGACACACCGGGAGCAACTAGCCATTACGCTCTATGAAAGACTAAGATCAACGTCTTAAATGTCTTAAGATCAACTACTGGAGTATCTATGAACCCGCACCTGAACGTCTCAAAACTCAAATTACTTTTACTAAGGCAGTGGAAGAATTGATACAAAGAAAAGGGCTAGAATTAGCTGAAAGGGAGCCACTCCCGTCATTAACACAAGTTCCATTCACCAGCCAATTTGTTGTTCACTGTGATCTTCTTCAGAATGTTTCTAAGGATACAACACCAATTTACGAACAAAAGGCTATAACCCTAGAAACCATCGGAAAACGATTTCCAGAGACAGAATGGCTCCATGTATATACAAATGGTTCTGCACTGGAAGCACACAACCATGCCGGAGCTGGAGTTTATTCAAAGGAGTTTCAACTTGTCGCCCCGGTCGGAAAGGTAGCCACAAACTTTGAAGGGAAAGTGAAAGCCATTCTCTTAGGCCTTGAGATGTTAACTGAACGGAAAGACAAGAAAGTGGCTTTCTTTGTTGACTCACAGGCAGCCATTTTGTCCCTAAAAAATGGATATAGTATAAATTCAAATGTTCCTAAATGCCATCAATATTTTATCCGATTAAAGGAAAATGGGACAGAAGTCGCTTTCCAGTGGATACCAGGCCATTGCGGGCTGCATGGAAATGATGAACCTGATAAACTGGCCAGAATAGGTTCTGGAATGATCCAACCCGATATTCCTCTGGCCATGGATTCAACAAAAAGAATCATAAAGCAGACCCTCCAAAGTTCACTGAAAGAGAAATATGTACAAACAATTGAAGGGAAACGATGGAGTGGATTGCTGGAAGAAAGTGGCAGGATTCCTAGAAACCTCCCTAGAGGGCAAGCTGTGGCATGCTTTAGAATGCTCACAGGCCACGATTTCCTTCAGAAGCACCTCCACCGCATCGGTGTAAAAGATAGCCCGACATGCCCTCTATGTTCCTAAGACATAACGACAGGAGAACATCTTGATACATGCCCTGCATTACAGGACATAAGATGTTGCTTTAATGAAATGGAGAGCTTTTATGCTCGAAAAGCAAAATTGTATTGGACTGCAAGAGCACGGCATGGCTAACGAAGCAGGCATTACTTAGGCGTAGGAAAAAAAAAAAAAATTCATTTCCTTCATTAGGTGGATTTTTAATAATTTTTTTCGAACTTAAAAATTATTTAAAAGTTTACCTATAGTTAGTAAATTTCATGTAATTTCCTTGGAAAAATGTGATTTCAGTTAAATATTAGTTTTCACTAATTATTATTTATAATTTTTTGTCACTCTCCATTACCTTCTATGACTTTCTATATTGGATAATGTTTTTTCTAAATTTTTCCGCTTTTCAACAATATATTAAACGCATACCTTCAGACTAGTATTTCCTGAGATTAATTTTTGACCTGAATAAGCATTTTCCTTTTTTTCTCCATTATTAAATTTCCAAATTCTTTCACAAGTTATATTAAGCATTTCTTCGTAACTCCTAATAATGAGTTATAGTTAATTATTTAAAATAAACCAAATCAAAGGTACTTCAGGGGAAGATGTGCTGAACAGTGGGCATTTAAGCCCTGTAAAGTGACATCAATTGGAATAAGACCTAAATGATATTAAAGACGCTCAATTATACCATGAAACACCAAGTTTAATCAAAATTGTTACAGACGTTTTTGAGAAAATTGTAAAAATGTGTTTCACCACTGATACAAAGTGGCACTTCCGGTTAGCAGATCTTAAGGAAAAGGTTGCTGTAGCCTTCCAAGCATATACTTATCTTAAATACGTAATATCAGTTTCGTACGACTTTTTGTTTTTGAGCTAGACTGTTGACATACAAACACACACAGAGACCATTTTCCGAGTCTTAGTTATTTGGACTCAGGGGTCCTCAAAACATGCATTGCTGTTGAAAACTCAGAATCAAAATTTTCACGATCACAATACTTTCATATATTGAAAGTGAAAGTAAAAATGTGTAAAATCGATGATATAAAGTGGCACTTAAAGTTTCACTTCAGCATTTCCAATTTCAGGAAAAGGTTGTTGTAACATCCCAGGCACGTACCTATCTCAAACACGTAAAATCAGTTTTGTACAACTTTTTGTTATTGAGCTAGTCAGTTTACATACACTCAACCACAGATCATTTTGTGCAACTGGGTTATTTGGACTCAGGGGACCCCAAAATGTGTATTTCCGTTGAAAACTGAGATTCTAAAATTTTCAAGATCGCAATATTTCCTCGTACTATGTATTACATATATACTTAAAGGAAGTTAGTCGACTGTTCTACATATCACCCATATTACATATATAGATGTCAGTAAAAAAAAAGATACAATTAAGAACAAAATATTGTACATATAGTAATAATCTTAGAAAGATATGAACATGTAAACTTAATATTTAATGAATTCATTTATAAGAAACTCCCAGCTGTGTCTGTTGATATTACAATTGCTACACCTCAGCAGGTGGGAAGAATCCCTCATAATAGAAGGTTTATGTTTTTATATAATTTTATCTTGTTTCTAACCATATCAATAATTTCAACTTCATGTTGATAGTTGACGAAATTTCCAAAAGGAGGTGAATGTGGAGATAAAGTTATCTTTGAGGGAAACCTTCCCTCTCATCTAAATACTATCTTATTAGTCATGCCTTAATACCCATTTGATTGTTATTGTATAAATCATGAATTATTCATTCTTTAATAAACACTGAAGAGAAGATTGATTGGAGTGATCACTAAAAAAAAATAAGTATACTTATTTATTTTTACTGATCACCCCAACCAATCTTCTCTTCAATTATTCACAATAGTCAACCATCAATCCACAGTCATTAATAAAACCATATTTATGGCTAACCATTTGATTTCTTAGCCAACAAAACCACTGAATACGGAGATATATTAGAACTTATTTAAATAACGTAACTACCACATGCAAATGCTGAAATAAAACTAGGATCCATGATACTGCCTAACTCATCAAAATTAAAGAATTTCATAACTTAAACTCAAAGATGAAATTTAATATAAAAGTTTAAAGATGAACTTCGAACAGTTCAAAAGAAATTGGATAGAAAACAGGAAATCATGGGAATGATAAAAATGACAGTACTATATTCTAGTACAAAAAAGGGAAACTGCATACTAGGTTATGAAAACAATAAGTTTTCACAGGTAGGAAATTGATTTATAAGTCTAAAATAAAAAGAGTTGAAGAGATAAAATACAAACTAAAATTAAAAGAACAAAAACTTACTCTTCTGCTACCTCAATTGGCACATTTCTATCTTTTTCTAAATCGATCTTGTTTCCAGCAATAGTTAAACATATTTCACTACCCAACATTTTTTTCAGTTCTTTGACCCAATTTTTTACCTAAAATCACAACACTTCTTCAATACAAAGAATAAGAAGGATCTATTCTATAAGACGAATTTCAACTTTTCTGTCACCTTTTGAAAAGAATCTTCATCTGTTATGTCATATACTAAGATTGCACCATTAGACATTCTATAGTAAATTGGTCCCAATGCATGAAATTTCTCTTGTCCTGCTGTATCCCAAATGGCAAGATTGATTCTTTTTCCTCCAATATTTAGCTTTTTATTTAGGAATGTAGCCTGACAAAACAATAATTGAATGTAATAAAATGTTATGTAACAAACATTTACAGTATGTCAAAACGGAATTACTTGTAATGTAGTTAAATGCTTATCATTAAATTTGTCTTCAACATATCGTAAAACAACAGAAGTTTTGCCCACACATCCTTCACCTAAAAGAACTATTTTGAAATTATAGTTGCTTGTGCCTCCATTACTAGACAGATCCGCCATGAGTAAGTAAAACTCAGGAAGAAGTTTAAATTAGGCTAAAAATGATTTAATACACTTTGCAGATTATATTGAAATCTAAAAACAAAAATCATAAATCAATCTTCTAATTATACGATTTGACAATTTGAAATAACGTGTCCTACATGATAATCAGTGTGTATACAGCAGTATCCTTCTGTTTGTATCAGCTGATTGTTGACATAATAACTGATATGGTTTGAAAAATCAATTATGATTTTAGAAAAATATAAAAAAATAACTGGAAAAATACATTTAAATTTATATATTTAAATTATTTTATTACTTTATATTTAATGTTTTACAAGCGTTAAGTTTCTAAATGCAGACGAAATTACCGGTGCCATGCATACTATGTGCAAGAATACATGCGCGCTGTGAAGACGGTTCGAGAGTTGTCAATGCTTGAGATTATCACTAGAGTTTCGGCGAGGGTTTTGGTAAAGTGCCGGATTTTTTGTAAATTTCTGGATGATAGGCTCATATTTTGATGATTAAAATTAATGCTGGGGTTATTGTTTGATAAAATAGCCAAATATTATTTAAATTCCGCTTATAATTGTTTTTTCGACCTTGGCGTCTGAAATTCGAAAAACGTTTATCTTCAAAAGGTAAGTAACTAATGCGATTTCTCATTGCCTTGTTATTATTTGTGTATTTTATAATTTAACATTGGTTCTAGATATCGGGGTTATTGAAATCAATTAAGTATTTCATTCCTGATTGTTGGTTTTAAATTGGTTTTGCTTCATTCTATATGATGACCTATTTAAGACTGTTATGATTATGTTTGGTCTTTATTATATATTATGATTTATCACTAATACTAATTGATATCTACTGTTGTTTTAAATAAGTTATGGTAATTTTTTAAAAAGTTTTCCTGCAATTAACACAATTACCTCCATCTAAATGGAACTTTCATATTAATATATGTTTCTGTTGCTGAGATTTAATTTTTTTTATTTTGTCTGTTAAGTTCTATGGTTTTTATTATTTTTCTTTTAATAACTTTTAAAGTGCTTCATTTGCTAAATATTATTTATCTGAAATTATCTACTCATTTTGCCATAAAATAAAATATATTTTTAATAAGTTAATCATTTTATTTAATTCATCAGTCTTGCAGTCAGGATAATTATTTATAAAATTTCTTATGTGTTATATTTTATGATATATAGTTAAATATTTCTTTTGCTACTTTAATTTCAGCTGAAGGTTAAGTTGCTGACTTAACAGATGAAAATTTTTGTTTTGTATCATCTTTTCAAAGCTTATTTCTTTTAAATCTGGTTTATCATAATGGTTGACTTCTATTTTAACACTGCACATTTATTTATTATTCCACATTTTTTAATTTTCTCCTGTTTTATTTTCAGGCAGTTTTGGGTGACTCGTTCAAATATAAATCATGTTTAGTTTCCATAAACCCAAAGTTTACAGATCATCTACTGGCTGCTGCATTTGTAAAGCAAAATCAAGCAGGTTAGTGTTTACTCATTCAGACTCCTTTTTGTTTGTAATACTTATTTTGATAGTAATCTCAGCTTAGGAATTCCAATGCCATGTATTTATTAGTCTAGTCTATGATTTTTGTGAATTTATCTCTTAATTATCCTATAACAGAGTCTACTTAGATGCGTTGATAAAGAATTTTATTTTATTGTAATACAAGCATTTTGCTTATATTAAAATGATATATAATATATCATTTTTTCTAAAAACTTTTTTTATTTTTTGACTATTAGCATAATAAAGTACCGCATTGAGCTGTATCAAGAAGTAAATTTGGTTTTAAAACAATCTACTAGATATTTTAGATGGTAGTATAAATCCCTATTATAGCTCTCAAGAGCAATGGAATTTGACTTGAAGGGGTCGAAAGATAGGATGTTTTATGGAGAAATGGCAAATTTTAATTTTAATCTTCTGATTCGTACTACAACTACAACTGTATTGTACAATTGAGTCATTGAAAAAAAGGAGGAGATTTCAAAACATTGGTAATTTGATGGATCGAGGTGAGACAAATCGTGTTTTTTATGATTTTCTAGCAGACATCAGGATCTGGTAAAGTTCCTGCAGAAGTTTTATGGTTCTGAATTTCGTGGCCATAATATTTATTATTTTCGAGATAAGGGGGTCCATTCTAATAGTAGGAATATTTCCCTAGATGCCTCAATTGCTATTTGCCATACTTATATGGTTTAGGCTTTTAAAAATTAAATTATATCTATTGTAGGCTATGATGATAAAATAAAAATCTCTTGATAAGATTAACAAAAGAGAATAAACCTGAGATCTTATTACATCAAAGATCATATTATTATTAATATATTAAATATTATTTCTTTTAATAACTAAAGGGATATTTTCCTGTGTGGCAGTCTTGTTCTTCGGAAAAATGTTTTTTAAACATAGCCTTTATAATACATACACATGTCTTTATGTTTATATATTTTAATGCCTGTTGGGTCCCTTTTTCTCTTATTTTGTTTTCAATGTCACATTCAACTATTTATGTTTGATTGTAAACTGTTGTTACTCGTGGTTTTGGTGTGTTTTCTTTCTAATAAGTTGGCTTGATTTTCAACATTTCATTTTTACTTCTTTGCTTTTCTTGGTGGACTAGTGCCTTTAATTGTTTTTTTTTTCTACTATGTACCCAGATCCAATCTTTATTCCATTCAGTTCTAGTACTCATTTTTTATTAAGAATTTGAAATCTGTCAAACAAACAAAAAATCAGTTTTGGAAAGCGGGCGGAGACTTGACTATTAACAGTGTTACTATGAACATTAACCTTGTTTAGTATATTAGAACTTGTTTAGCATATCGACAGCCAAACTGCATAAGTTTTGTTCTATGAATATATTTTTGGTTTAATTTTTTTTACAGGCCTTAGGTTTGATTCAAGAATGCTTGATAAGTTCTAGGTAACCTGCTGATGTGTAGATCACTTCGTTTCTGAGCAATTTCGAAGATTCTTTGATTTAGAAAGATGAAACTAGAGTGATTTTTTTGTCTCTTGTTAAATTTTCTACTTGATGAAATAGATTTTTTCTTTCACTATCTGGAATTTGGCGGCATTGTAGCTTTTTTCCATTCAAGTTCATTTTGAAGTTGCCAGGAGGTTTCGATTGTTTTAAAGGCTATTTTATATTGTATGCCTATTTACCACTCTTCTTGTTTGTTTCTTCTAGTTCCATGGTAAGCAGTGCCACCCTCACGGCAGGAAAACGCAGGCATTTGCCTAGAGATTCCAGGCTGGGAGCGCCCACCACTTATTAGAAATTTAAAAAAAGGAATACAAAATTATGAGAAAAATGAATAATTTTATCCTGTTAATAAAGCTAATTAGAGAGTGGGGGTAGTTCAGTGATAGGGCACTGATCTTCCGATGTTTTAGGTCCCAGATTCGAATTTCCCGGCTAATGGCAGAAAAATTATTTATTTTGTTTCATCAGCCGTGGGATTGGGAGACTCTTGGGGCACACTCAGCCTCTATAAATTGGGTATCCTTAATTAAATAATTAATTAAGTGGGAAAACCTGGCAGTTGATCATGATCTCAGTCAAGTCACCTCCTTGCATAACCGTTGATTAAGAAATAGTATTTTCCTTAAATAATAGTGAACCCAAGACTCTTCATGGGTTGTAGTGGAACAGGTTATATTATATTTTAGGACATTTAAGAAGGCTTCTATTGTAAAAAATTTAAGTAAAAATGAATTCAGTAATTCTTTTTTTTTAATATAGCTAATTGGTATTGTATTGGTATCTATGCGCAAAACTCTCAATACATGCTATATTTGTTTGATCAACTTTCTTTGAGTATTTAATCAATTGTTTTCGGTAACGACACTATCTCTATAAGCTTCACTGTAACTTACAGTTTTTTACATCACAATTTGCTGGTTTTTAAGTTAAGGTTTTTTCAAAAGGCCATAAAGAAGAAACGAAACATCGTAGATTTCATTTTGTGGGATTAGACTATGGGCTAGGTCAATATTGATCTGAAAAGCTGAAAGCCTCATTTGTCTTTGGAATCAGATCATTTGTTGATACAAAAAAATGGGGCTTACCACTGTTCTTTCCAAAAGATACAATTTTTTTATTCTGATTGCCAATTCCTGATATTTTCTCACCTACAGTTATGTTTATATTATTGCTTCATTTGGATGTTTGTATTATTGTTATTTAGATTGCAACATGAATAAGTTTGCCTTTCTTAGTTCCAAAATCTATTATGAAGTTATCAAGTCTATTGTATTCTGGTCCATGATAATAAATTCGTCCCAATACATTTTGAGGAAATCTTTCTGAAGCAGCCTATTGGGATTATATTTACAATATGGCACATTTTCATCCTATATGTTAAATTTCATCACCGGTGCCTGGTGGAATATTTTCCCCACATTATTGTGCCCCTACAGATACTCCGTACCAGCGCGCCTCCACATCCAGCTGTGAGAAGCGTAAAAAGGTTTTTTATTTTTATAGTTCTCAAAATATTGATTTTTTGTGCCAAGTATTTGCACAAAATACAAAGAGTATTTGCCAGGAAATTTTGAACTGGTTGGGACATGTAGTGAGCATGCTCTGTTGGAAATGACTTGCAAAGGCTGGTTTCGATCTGGCGCACTGAAAAGGTTAGGAAACAAAGAATTGGAGAATTTACTTAATGAAAACTCATGTCAGAAGTTAACTGAACTTGGAAAATCATTACTGGTAGATGACACAACAGTTCAAAATCTTTGAAATGATCCAGAAGCAAGGAGATTGAGTACCATATGGGTTGAAATGTTTTTGCATCCTATCTTGGCTGAATTAAATTAAATTTTCAAACGAATTATAAAATGTTCAAAATAAGAATAATCCAAATAATCAATATTTTCATTTGTATTTGGGATGATTTTCATCTATTTCTGTCCATCAGAGTTTAATGGAATTATGTAATTAACAAAACCATAATAAAATAATAACAGACCAGTTTGTTTATCTGGTGGCTCAGTAACTGGCCCACTTCTTCAAGTTAGCTGCCTTATCCACAGATGCTAGTTATATCATGATTGCTAGCAAAAGAAACACAGTTAAGACTTTATCTGAATGAGAGAAGTTCTGATACTAGATAATAGACACTTATAAATGTTTATAACTTATTATGCTTTACATTTGACCATAACAGAATAATATAATACATACTCATCAATTAGCGTTTAGCTCCCCTCGTTTCACTAAGGATGCAGGAGTAATTTTAAAGAAATTTCCAGCCCATTCTATGAATAACAGTCTGCTAAGTTTCACAAATTGGTCTGCATGGAGTGATTCGTTACTTTAAATGAAGATCTGTTGAAAGGAAAACTTCAATCACTGTGAAGACTGCTGGGAGTTTTGCTTACTTTAAAAGTTTTAAACCTTACAAAAATTCTGAGCATACTTTATTTTTTACAATCTCCCACATAAACACAAAGCTCTCCCCTGCTTGGTAGTGAGGAAAAAAACAACTAACTAAGTGATTTACATCATACTTTCAAAATCATAATTTTAGAAACATAACTATTGTTTAAAAGTCGTTTTATTGAAAATTGTGACATATACATATATCACTTTATTTAAAATGTAAATTTTCTTTATTAAAAATAAAAACAAAATGCAATGCATTAATTTATAAACTTATCGAATAAGGTTGATTGTTTCACTTATTTTATTTTATTATTAATATGATTAAATATATAGTTTATATGGTCTAATTGTAAGGTTTATTATATTTTCTTTTTTTTTCCTTTTATTTAGCTCACGTTTTACTGATAGTAAGAAGTATGAAGATGATTTCGTAAATTGCTTCCAATTACCTGAAAAACGTTGTGGTGAGGTTTGTAATGCTTGTGTACTTCTAGTTAAGCGATGGAAAAAACTTCCTGAAGGAAATGGGAGAAACTGGCGCCATGTAAGTTGTCAATACAATATATATTTTTATCGTTTGAATGTTTGAGTAGTTTTTAATTTATAAACAGATAAATCTTTGTAATTATTTTATGAAATCTAATTTATTATCTACTGTAAAATATAAATCTAGACAATAAAAATCCATTGTATCATACAGCTTTGGGGACTAATTTTTTTTTTCAAAGCTTCTACTTTATTAACTTTTGATTTGGATTGCTTGACTGTATTAATTTCTTTATTTGTACGTTTCATTGTTTTTACAAAGCTATTTATAACTTGTCTCTTATCAATTTCGCCATCCTATGAGGCTTGGAATCAAATCTGCATTTTCACATGCTTAAGTAGAGATTTATTAGAGGAAACAAAACCTACAGTTATTCAATATTTTGAGCAAGATAAGTTTTTTCATTGTTTAAAATTTTTTGCTTCTGGGATATAACAGTTTCAGGAATTTTTTCAAATATAGTTAACCAATAACCCACCGAATTTCATTGTTTGTTTTCTTAATTATCCATGTTTATAGTTCAATTGTCACTTAAAAAATAATTTCTAGTAAAACATTAAATTAATCTTGCTGGTTAAAACATCCAATTAATTATGTCATAATGTAACTCTTTGAGATCTGGTGACTTCATGTACTCCTGCAGTTACAGATATGATACCCCCAAGAATTTACATAACCTTCTGAGAAGGTACCTACAGGACAGACGTGAGGATAAGTTTCTACCAGATTGAGAGAGCCATCCAGAAGGGATGCCCACACGGGTCTATTATATGTCCTGCTCTATGGAACTTATGGAACTTAATTTTCAGTGAGCTTTTGGGGGTACTAGAAGAGTGTTGGTTCTCAGCAATGGTATATGTTAATAACATGGCCGCTGTGATACCATCCGATAGCAGAGCAGGAATCAAACTTGAGACAAATAGATGCGCTAACTTAGTAGCTACAGAATAAACGAGAAGAAAGGTGAGGATAGCTGCTGCTAAAACCCATGCAATCCTTTAAGGGCATGACTAAGAGGGCACAGCCTATTGTCTTGAAGATCCAGAGAGAAATGATTACTCCCAGTGAGGTATCCTATCTATATAACCAATCTTGGCCTAAGATTTGGAATGAAGTTTAATATAATGCCTTACTGGGATTATTGAACCTTCTTAACTGAAAGATGAACAGTTGGCATCTATCCAGAGGATGGCTCTGATGTGGGACACCAGAGGATATAAGACAGTGTTTCATGAAGCAGTGCAGTTTGTTGCAGAGATACCTCTCAATCTCCTGCAAGAAAATTTGATAAAATATGAGGTGACTTCTGGATAGGAATATAGGAGAAAAAAGACTTAAATTTTGTTGTCTTTATACAATAAATAGGTTCTAATTAATCTGGCTTTCCTTGGAATTAATGGTAGGATATTCTCAAACCTTTGTATCTATTACATAAATGAATTTACAAAATTATGGTTTTATACCTTGTTTCTAAATGTTTTACTGTGTATGTATAAATATATATATATATATATATATATATATATATATATATATATATATATATATATATATATATATTAGTTTATTGTATTTATTTTCCTTTTTAGTATATTTCACAGCTGAAAGTGTTTATAAATTGCAGGTAGTTGATGCAAGAGCTGGTCCTGGAACAAAATCCATGACAAAATTTAAGTCCAGGAATCATAATAGACCTGTGACCAAAAGGAAATCTACTGATACTGAAGAACTAGACATTGATCAGCCGATACGTAAGAAGAAACCAAGAAAGCTAAGAGAATCCAGCATTTGCGAAGAAGGACAAGGTTCTATTTCCTTATATTTTATTGTGTTATTTTAACTTCACAATTTATTTAACTGTGTTGTGTAATGGCCATTCACTTTTTTTTTTTGTCCACCCCTTCCTACTTTTTTTTTTAGACTATAAGGTTTTTTTCTGTTTGAAATAATTTGATAACAGAGAATTAACTAATGAAGAAAAAGGGAAAAATATTTTTCCAGCATTGAAAACAAATTTATAGAAATATGAGCAGTAATTTATGTACAATATAAATAACAATATGTACAGCATATTGTTGGAAAGCTGAGGATTTCATACAAAATTGTATCTATTGTGCTAGAAAGGCTGTTGCAGCTGTTCAACCTGCTAACAGTTTTAAACCTGCTAACAGTAACCTGCTTTTGTTTTGCACGTTGATTCATTTTCTATGTAAAATTTTAATTTTGTTCCTCATAAACTGGTTTGTTTTGGGTTAATGCTATCTTTGGAGTTTTCCAAAGTTTTCTCTTTATCTGTAGAATAAGAAGGAGTTTACTTTTATTCATTTTAGGTCTCAAATTTTCCTCATGTGATCTATAAATATCTTTATTCGACCATCACTTTAGAACAAATTTTGTTTTGTTGATCACATTCAGGACACTATAAGTGTTGTCTGATTCTCTTACTAGGTTAATAATATTGGTTAGATCTTATATATTGTATCTCATAATCTAATTTCTGTGAGAAATTTTTATTTCATCCAAATCATGTAGTCTTTTACTTACATTATTATTTGTTAGTAGTCATTCCTTAGAGTTTCTGGAATCACAGCCCTAGGTACTGGTACTGGGTGGGGGAAACTAGTCCGGCAAGTGGGGCTATAGTGGTTATTTTTGCTAACCCCTGACCTTTAAGGTTGCCGCCGCGTATTTGCCAGAGTGGAAATGTCACGATCGATTTCCCAGGGCCACCGAGAAATGAAAAGTAACCGACCCATGTGGGGATCGAACCCACAACGTTCAGAACCGGGCTATCCCGTCCTCACATAACATAGCCCTAGGTAAGGTTATGTTAGATATCAGCTCAAATATTAAAAGATATTGAAATGATAGCTGTCTTCTATATATCTAGTAGAATATATAAACTGAGGCTAGGAAGATGTGAATGTAAGCTACCTTCCTAAGAAGTATTACCCTTGCTGGCGTCAATCTCTATTGCTCTATTTGGTGATTATGATTTCATAAAGCAAAGAATTATAGAGAAAGATATCTACTCCTCTGTACCTATCTCGTCTCTGAGATTTATTATATTATAATTCTGTGCATGGTAGATTGTTTATTATCAAACCATGTTTCCTGCAGTATTTTGATTTTGTTTATATTAAGATAATTTACAATTCTTGGAACTTTATTATTTGTGCTTTGACAACTGTTATTGTTCAGCATTCTGATTCTACTCTTTACCAATATGAGAGATTAAAGTAAAAGGTTGGAGGCTATCATTCTCTATTTTTATTATGAATTTATTTCATAAGTAACTAGGAAAAAAATAAAAAAGTTAGGATAATCTATGGTTGACAACCACTGATGAGTGATTGAGTGAATGCTTATGTATTTGTTGTTATGAGTTACCGTATAAAAATTATGGAATAAAATAAATCAATGTAGAAAGGAAAAAATTATAATTTTTTAAGATTGGTGGGGATCAATGAGCATGTCATTATAGTCTCATGTAATATCTCTAAAATAGAACATGAGCTTATTTGATTGAAATATCCATTAACAAATTACACTTATAATCTAACAACTGAGAAGATGGGTTGTTGATACCTTCTTTATACGAGTAGTGAAAATAAAATACACAGAAATCTAATACTTATTTTTAATTTATGTGTAATATGAAGTTATTAACAAATCATCTTTTCTTTTAGTTACTTTGTAAAGAAACCAAAGATATGTGTTAATAATAATTTATGGATTTTGACTATTTAATGTATGTTTTATAGGATATATTAGAATACTTAGTAAATGGTAGGGATTTAGTTCACTATTTTTGAATTTTTAATAAACGTGATTCAGGTGCTGATGAGGAAGATACTAGCCCAGAAACAAGCAGAAGCCCAACCCCTAGTGAAGAAGATATGCCTCAAAAAAGGTTATCTCTTGTTTCCAGTTTTATTGATCTCACAATTTGGAAAAGGTATGCGATTTTTTTTTTTTTATAGTTATTATTAGGTAATTTATAAATTTGTTTTATTGATTACTCACTTACATTAAATAATTTTATAGTTTTACTTTTTACTTTCACTTACGTATGTATGAATTATATAGTAAGGGTAAGTATTGCGATCGTGAAAATTTTTGAATCTGAATTTTCAACAGAAACACACGTTTTGAGGTAGCCTGAGTCGAAATGACCAAGTTCCGAAAATTTGTCTTTGTGTGTGTGTTAGCAATCTAGCTCAAAAAAGAAAAGTCGTACAAAACTGATATTATGTATTTAAGATAGGTATATGCCTTAGATGTGACAGCAAATTTTTCCTTAAAATTGGCTAACCAGAAGTGCCACTTTATACCAACGCTGAAACACGTTTTTACAATTTTCTCAAAAACGATTTTGATTAAACTCGGTGTATCATTGTATAATTAAGTGTTCTTTAATATCAATCCGGGCTTATATCCATTGATACCACTTTACAGGGCTCAAATGCCCAATGTTCATATACATCTTCCTCTAAAATACCTTTAATATGCTTTATTTGAAAAAATTAATCATCTCAAGTTATTCAGAGTTACTAAAAAATGCTAAATATTACTTTTGAAAGAATTTGATATTTGAATAAAGGAGCACAAAATAAATATGCTTATCCAAGTCAAAAATGAATCTCCCGAAATACAAGTCAGAAGGTATACATAGAATATAGCGTTGGAAAGTGAAGAATTTTAGAAAAAATAATATTTAATATAGAAAGCTGTAGAAGGTAAAGGATAGTGGCGAAAAACATTATAAATAATAATGCTGGAAAATTAACATTATTTAACTTGTAAACTTTAAATGTTTTTCTAAGATTAAAAAAAAGTATTTAAAATGCACCGAATCAAGCCAATGCCATTGTTTAAAATACTATTTCATTGTGCTTGTGTGAAAGAAGTGAAATATATAAATATTTCATGGATATGTTTATAACCTCAAATATATTTACTGTAGAGTATTAACTCTAGATAAGATTTAATATATTTAAATAATTAGGTATCTATCGGCCGTTTATTCCAAAAAACCATCAAGTAACCTTTTAGAAAATTAAAATAGTAAATAATTTGATGAATTATCCCTTTGTCAAATCCCAACATTATCCACTTACAAGTAGTGTGACAACTTTTGACCTATCCATAGCAAAGCAATGAAAATCTTGTAATTTTGTTTTAGTAAACTTTCCTATGAAAAATAACAGGTTAATAACTAATAGTCCTACGATCCATAATCATTTATAGGTTAAATATTCAGATATACATTCAAACCTATGTAGGCATATATGAGCCTTTCTGTTGACAGAATGACTAACTCCAATTTCAACATTCTTTATTATTAATTTTAGTGATGTTTCTAGTGGAAAAATTTATACCTTAATTCACAGTTCTATATTTCAACACTGCAATCACCTACTCCGGAACCAACTTACTCATTGTCTGTATAGATAACTTTTTCAACTAGAAATATCACTAAAATGACATCACTAAAAAATGTTGAAATTGGAGTTAAAATGACATCACTAAAAAATGTTGAAATTGGAGTTATTCATTCAGTCAATTGAAAGGCTCAGAGACTGTTGTGTGGTTTATAAAAGTAGATGGGGTGACTAGATTTTTATTGCCTACCATCGATATTATAAATAGACTTTTTGTAATTATAATGGTCATAATGATTTGCTATCTGTAGGCTTTAAGCTGTAGCTCTGTTTAAAATGCACTTCAAATATTTTATAATAGCCCAACATTGCCAGAAAATAATTTCTATTCCAAGTAGAGCGGTAAGTGAAAGTTATGTGTTGCGCACACCAGATTTTTGATATCTGTACTAGGGTGTCAATCAGTCTAGAATATCTTCAAGATCATAAATTCCGTCCTTTTCTTTTCTTTTTTTTTTTGCTTCAGTCAGATTAATTAATTTTTTTATTCTTATGCGAAAGGTGTATAAAATATGAAGAAAAAGGCTAATGTATTAGTTATTCCTCCTGTCTAATTCCAAGCAAATTCCTGCCTTACCAGCTCCACATTGAGATAAGGTTCCCTTCATTTTTACAGCTTGAGTTAGGTAAACCAAAGTAAAAATGGAAAAAAAAAATATAGAAATGATGGGCTAATGAATCATCCTGAAAAAAGTTATTGGATGATGGGAAATCAATTTGTGCATTACTGCGAGTTCCATACAAACAATTATGGATCATCACATTTTTATCCATTTTCAAGTCAATGACATATTTCTGTAAATAACTACCATTAACAAAAACAAATAATTATTCAACTTAGAAGCAGCTCCTAAAAAATTAGCTCCTCTATCGGAATACATGTGGTAGGGCCTGTAATGCCTAGATGTTAAGCAATGGAGCACTGCGAGGAAAACCTTCTTTTTATTAATTTCTTTAATGATTATTGTCATGTTTAATGATTTTGAAATAATCTATAATCATATCTACTTTTTTTTTTTCTATTTATTGTTTTATTATTACTTAATTGATTTACTTTTATTTATACACTTGTTATTTATATAGGTAAATTTATTAACTAAAATTTTGTAAATATTAGTTTTAATTTCTTAAATTGTAAACTAATATTTACAAATTAAATTCCTGGACCTTTTATCACTTGTGTTTTTACGATAGTGACAAATAATTTGGTGCAGGTAGTTTATGGCTGTTACAAAATTATGTTACAAGACATTTTAGTCACTGAGGATTTGGCTATGCTGTGTAGTATTTTAACCTTTACCTTGGAAGTTAGATTAAAATAGTAGCTATAATAATTGCACATTAGATAGCGTAGGCTTAAGATTCAGAAATGTGGATGAAATTATCAAAATTAATTAATTTTTTAATGTTTAGGCAGAAGATATGCTGTGGTACTGTTTATGCTGGTCCTTGTGGCGCAGTACTGGTAGATGTTAGGTTGATGAAACCTACTTGTCCTAGACGGACACCTTGTGCCCCTCTTTCACCACCATCTACTGCTTCCTCATCTAAGTCCAAAGCATTTTCTGATAACTCGTCTGATTCTGGGTATGATGAATCATCAAACCACAGTTTACCCCAACCTGTTACGAACAACTGATTAATAAGAAATTATTGACTGACCAAACTTATATCTTAAATTGTTGTTTTAATTTGAAAAGTGGAAAGAAAGACACCAGAGAACTGTTAGTCAGATAAGATGTTTTTAAGTATCAATAGTGCCCTAAGTTAATTAATTATATTTCTCCAAATTATAAGTATGTTATTTATGAGTTAAGTTGAAAATTATATTTAACTAAACCTTAACATCAGTTTTGATAATCAGTTCTTTGGGTATTAATGCTTGTTTAAATTTTGTTAAATCTTTTTATTCAGAGATGGTATTTACATTTGATACCCAACGGTGCCCAAGTCCCCAATATTAGTAATATTATTGTTTATAGTTTTTATAAATGAAATGGAGCTTGTCTCTTTTTATATAATTTTATTTATCTTTTATAGATATTTTAAAATATTTATTTATTTTATTTTAATTGCTTGTTATATAGAGAACTATTAAAAAAAAAATCCTAATTTAAATATTTTAAAATAAATTGTGAATATCTATCTCTGAGAGATTCCACGCTACCTTTAAGGTTGTTTTAAATTACTTGTTAAATACTAACATTATTTATTTTTGTTTTTCTGAAGTGAGATCATATTTTTGCTCATTAATTTTTTTTTAACAAAAAATTATATTAAAATTATTTTTGTTGAAATTGGCATTCGAAAAGGTTAAATTTATTTGTATTAATATTAGAATTAAAAAGTATTTACATTATTATTTTATTGGTAGAATTATCACCACACTGCCATTATTTTCCTGGTTTGAGTATAATCATGCTCATTCTAGTAGTAAAGAATTTTAGATTTTTTTTTCTATCATGAAATTAATTTTGGCCCTTCAGATTTTATCGTATGTTATTAGTAAGGATCCCGAACTAGTCACACTCAATAATTAATCTTTTTTATTAGTTTTAAAGTTTAATGCTTTTATATAATTACTAAATGCTAAAGCAAAAGCCATGTTTTCACTTATAACTTCTAGTAAACTTTTTTCAGTGACAATATTTGTGTTCTGTTATTAGAATTTCTAGATAAAAATATAAGCTTATCTGGTGTCTGACGATATATGCTCAAGGTGTATACAATATTTTGAAAAATAATGTCCCTTTCTTCGTATAAGATATAAATTTAGGGGGCCAATGACTTGATGACAACTATATGTCTTATATTTGTCACCATTCACAAGAGCATTTGTTCCTGTTATTACTGTTTTTCAGTTTATAATAATTGTAATTATAATTATTAAAAATAATCAGTAGTACCTTTAAAGGGGTCATTTGTTTTTTAATTTTGGAGCACAAAAATTAGAATTTTTATTATTTAATTAAAATTATTTTAATGCATTTCTATATACCTCATTATAATTTTGTAATTAATGAATGAAGCCCATTGTGAGCTGTGGGATTACCAATTAGATCTTCCAATTTAAGAAAAGGGAGTGTTGATTTTTGATAGAGAAGAGTTAATTTATCATGTCTTTATTTACTACTGTTGTTAATTTTATTGTAATGAAATGATCTCTATTGACTGGTCCATCATCACTGCCTAAATTGACATCCCAGGGAAACAATCCTGTTGTAAATTAACATAATTTGTTAAAACATATCAAATTGCCTTGAAATCAATGTCAACATTTATTTTTAAATTAATATATTTTTTTGTTATGTTTGAAGCTATGATTTTCTTCATTATTTATTTATTTTTACTCAGGTGCTTAAAGGATAGCATTCTGTTATTCATTTTCTTAATGTGTGTACTTTATAAAGTCATGTGAAACAGATATTTAATTAAAAGGTACCTTAGTAATTAAATTAATAATATACAAATATTTTACCAATTTTTATAAAATTAACGTTTTTAAAAAATAAAACAAGATAGGGAAGGAGGAGATATTGTTGAAGGCATTTGCGCAAGTTAAAATTTATTGGTCTCCGAGTTATTTCATGAGCATTGTTCAGTAGTTTGTTAATAAACTATAAGATCTGTCTACAGACTAAATGGAATAAAATCAAAAACATTTTAAAACCATATAGTGCCATCAGTGTTATTTTGAAATGATGAAAGCCATTTCGTTTGAGAATTATGTAATTAATTTCAAATTTTTCATCACTAACATTTTACTAACAATATTACACTTTTTAAAGATCAGTTATTTATAAATATTAATAAGTTTATTGATTAATTTATTTTTAATTAATGGTGCATTAAATAAAGTTATCGAAATTTTACCTGATTTATTCATTTGGTGGGAGAGGGGGAGATATAGAAGGGATTGAATACCTTGTTTTTCATCATTCCTTAACTTCTTTGTCTGTTATAAGTGTAATACATTGTCATTCTATTAAAGAACTCCAGGCTGTTTCTTTCTTGTTCTTATTTTTATAACCTGTTTTAAAAAATTAAATAATGGATCTAAAAATAATATTCTAGCAAAATATTCCATATTTTAAAAAAGAAATGGGTAAGGCCTATTTTATTTTTATTTTTAAAATTTTTGTTTTACTTATTTAAATACATTGAGAAATTTACTTTAGATTATATCTTATGGATGCATTTAAAATTTAAATATATAATTTAATTATTATAAGTAAATTACTTCCATCACAATCATTTAATTAAGTGTTTAACCTAAAAAAGAAAAAAAAAAAAAAATGAGGATTTACTTCTTTTTTTTTTCTTTTTTTTTTTTTGTAATATTTTACCTTTCAAGAAATAGACTAAATGAAAACCCTGGTATTCTTTCCTGGTTGAAAACATTAATTTATTTTATTAAAAATGCTTATTAATGAGAAGTATGACTGTTAACAAGAATGAGGCCAGTCAAGTTGATTTGTTTTAATAATTATGAAAAATGTATAAATAAATAAAAATATTTATATATAGTATAGTTTTATAGAGTTTATTACATGTTGGCCGTTAATAGGTTTAAGGCCTTTAACTGCCATTAATTGTGTTCAACACCATGTTTTCTAATATTATAAACTATGTAATAATTCTGTGTGTGCTTAGGATTTGTGTTGTTTTTGCATAGTCATTGTATATTAATTTTTATTGTTGGTAAACAACAGTTAAATTTAGTAGGTAGAATGGGTAATTATTTAAAGAATAGGGTAAGCTAGTCTTGTTGAATATTGTTTTGGATCTATGTATTATTTTTTTATGAGTGTCTTATTCATTTTTAGTGCTTACAATTCTATGAAATTATTTGTCAATTTCTGTTTACTATTTTTTCTTGGTTTTACTCTTAATATTACCGCAAATTTATTTATATTTATGAAATATTAAATGATCTCTTTGTAATCTTGATGATAAGTACTTAATGTGATTGTTAAAAACATTTACTTGACTAAGGGATAATCTATTTTTAACCAAAATAGATAATTATTTCATGTTAACAAGTACTCCAAACTCGTCTCCATAAGACAATCAAAAACTGATTTTTATTCGTTTAAAGTTATGTCCAATATCAGAAAAATACTTATGAACTAACTATAGTTTATTAAAATTAATGACTTTTTTATGCCTTTGCAAAAATTGAATTAACTTTGTAAATACCTCTTCCTAATCTTGTACCTTCTGATTGCCATAATATAATGTATTCAATTCTTAAAATAAAAAAATATTAATAGTAATTTTAATAATAATCGTATTTATATAACAATGTGATATGATTGGTTACCTTGGAACTATCAGTCATTGTTTGCAATAATAGGATAAAATGTGGAAGAATAAATGACCTGTTGATTTTTTTGAATATTTGTGTTATATTTTGCATCATTACAAAAATAAATGTGGTACAGTTCTTGAAACAGATTATCGAATTTGAATTTTATTATTGATACGTCATTTATTTTCTGAGGCAAAAAAATCATTTAATAATTATATAATTATTACCTTATTCATTAATATATTGTTAAAAAAACTTCAGGTCATGAATTAACTTGTTTATTTCTAAATATTAAAGTTAAGAGTATGAATGTTTGAATTTATTTATTGGATAAAAGCGTTCAATTTTTTTTAGTTTATGAACTATATTGTTGAAAGAATTTTGTGGATTGACAATGCCAGCTGTCTGTATTTTCCTATCAAGGGCAAACTATCTAAAACTGCCTTATGAACAAGGTATTAGTTATAATTGTTGTCTATTTATCGTAGCAGACTATTTATGAAATAACTCTCCCTTATATTATAAATTAGCATTCATGATATTTTATAATTTTATACCATTTTATTTAAGGAAATTGTGTAAACAGAAAATTTTGGCAATTTAATTTTAGCATGTATTTTGAATTTCATGATAAGGTACAAATTTGATATGTGAAACAGCTTGATGCAAAATTATATACGTACAAATGCCACTCTATGTGTCAAGCTGTTTTACTGTGCAATACCCAATCTTAGTATAATTGTTAATATTTATACATATATTATATATATACTTATTTAATGAACTGTATATATCTTGATTAAGTTTTAGGTTTTGGAGCCCTCCACCAGAAGTACAAGTTTTAAGGACATTTAAACAAAAACAAAAAAAAATAATAAAAAGAAAAAATAGAAAGAAAAAATTAAGAGTTTATATTTATTGTTACTTTAATACTTAAGGTTTGTATGATATTGGTTGGGCTCCTATTTTGTAGGTTCATTAGTGGACAGTAAATTAAAAATTTGTTCTATATTATTATCGTATTATGAAACTATTTCATCTAATTTTTCCGTGTGCTTGAAACATGGTAAATTTTTAATGAATAGTTTTAAAGCTTTCCTTCTTGTAAATTATTTGTGTCATTAAATACTATTAATTATTTGTGTTTATTCCTTTATTTTATTTTAAAATGTCTGTGAATGTTTCAACCTTCTAAATTATCACTATAATACCTTTTGAGATTATAGTTAAACAGTCTAATTGTCTTTTAATTTTATTTATTTATTTTAATTGGTTATTGACATTTTCTTTATAGCAATGCATGGGTAAAATTTATAGTTATCTATTAC